TTTGGACAGGTTTCAACCCTTCCGTGGCGTAATACATTACACAGTTTATATGTAGACTACATTATAACTCATAAAATAGTTCTACAATTAAATGGATCTCCTTTTACAAACGTATATAATAACCAGAAATGTTCAGATCGTCCTTGCGTGTATTTTATGCCACAAATTTTGACGAAAGGCTTTTCATTACATAAACTATACCTATTTACAGTGTTGACCAAACAGTTGGCAAGAAGCATTAATAAATAAGCTATGTACCAAATATGATAATTTTAGCTCTATTCTAATTATGACAAAACACGAAGTAACTAAAAGCGAGTTTTGTTGGTGTAGTAAGCGTTGCAGGAGGTCTACTTTACACTGAATCGACGTTCACTTTTATTGCTTTTGATCTTCCGACACTTTTGACTCAGCGAAACTGAACTTGTATTTTACCGTATTTCGTTATATTAATCCTGCTGTTGCATTAGGTCAAATTCCCAATAAGTCAATTGCTTTAACATAGACTAAACTTTTAGCCCGGACTGTACTATTTGACTTTCTGGGATTTTTGATCTACAGACACTGCAAACATTGTAGTTTTTGACCTAGCGGCACAGGTATAAATTATTTGATCTTCCGGGACTGTTGACTTTCAGCAACATTCCCATTTTAAGGGTGTACCCAGTGCACTCTATTCTTTCTTCTTCTTCTTTTTAACTGTCTATGTAGTAAAAAACATGTGTCTTCAATTATTTATTATTGTTTTGTTGTGTTTGTAAACAAGTCCATTATAATTCAATGTAGTATTGTTCAAGTTATTAAAAACCTTTCTAAAGGTAATAAAAGTTCTTTTTCATTCATTCTTACTCTCATTACAATTTTAATAACTTGATATTGTGAAATGGATACGATCCTAAAGCCAGACAAGTTTAGTGTAGATCCAAACTCATCATCTGCAAGTAAGGAATGGACACATTGGCACAAAACATTTCAGAATTTTGTTACCAGCATCACACCACAACCATCCGACTCCGATAAACTGAAAATACTTATAAACTTTATTACTGCAGAAATCAACGAGTACATAAGTGAAAGCGGTACGTATAACGATGCTATATCTGTGCTAAGAAGTATCTATGTAAAACCTGTAAATGAAGTATATTCCAGACATAAACTATCTGCACGTCAGCAGCAACCTGAGGAGACTATTGACCAATATCTCCAGGCTTTAAAATTACTAAGTAAAGACTGTCAGTTTAAAGCTGTCACAGCTGAAAAGAATAGGGATGATTATATCCGTGACACATTTATTGCTGGAATAAAATCTTCTGCTATTCGCCAGCGCTTACTAGAAAATGTTTCGTTGACACTAGATCAGGCATATAGTCAAGCCAGATCCCTAGAACTTGCACATGAACAATCATTAGCTTTTCAATCTTTCCAATCTATAGTAAATGCAACTTCGTCCCAAGAAACTCAAGCGAGCAATCAGAATGTTGATGCAACTTCAAGCAGTTTAGAAAAGTGTTCTCTAGCTGCTGTGACTGAAAAATGTTTCTTTTGCGGTAATCTAAGACATCCTAGGGTCAAATGTCCAGCTAAAAATACAATTTGTCATAACTGTGGTAAACAGGGGCATTTTGCTAAGGTCTGCAGGGCAGGTAAACTACAAACCAAGCAATTGGATAAATCTAAAGAAGTAATGAACTCTATTGACCTAGCAGCTTCGCCCGGTGGGTTAACAAAGAGTACAGTACAAGCCCTAGTTAATGGTAAATCTGTCTCTGCTTTGATAGATACGGGAAGCTCTCTAAGTTTTATAAACAAATCTACTGCTCTTAATTTAGGTATTCCTATAAAACCAGGTAGGGGTACTGTCTCAATGGCTACTACATCAATCACATCCGACATAACGGGTCAATGCAAAGTAAATCTTGTCATTCTTGATCACTTTTACAAGCAAGTTAATCTTTCATTGTTACCAGATCTTTGTGCAGATATAATTGTTGGACATGATATTTTGAAAAACCATGCAAGTATTAAAGTAGTCTTTGGTGGCAACAAGTCACAACTAACCGTATGTAGCGTGGCAGCCTCAACTGTAGAACCGGTATCTTTGTTTTCTAATTTAAAACCGGAATGTAAGCCAATCGCAATCAAGTATCATCGCCATAGCACCGATGATTTAAAGTTTATTGAAAACGAAGTAAGTAAATTGCTGAAAGACGATGTTATAGAGCCTAGTATGTCTCCATGGAGGGCTCAAGCATTAGTAGTTACTACTGAAAATCATAGAAAAAGAATGGTCATTGACTACTCCAGGACTATAAATCGTTTTACATTACTGGACGCTTACCCACTACCTAGAATCGATGATATCGTTAACAAAGTTGCAAATTATGAGTTTTTCAGTACTATCGACTTGAAAAGTGCTTACCACCAAGTAAAGATAAGAAATGAAGAAAAGCACTACACAGCTTTTGAGGCCTGTGGTCAACTCTACCAGTTTAAGCGTATCCCGTTTGGGGTCACTAATGGGGTGGCAGCATTCCAACGTGTAATTGACCAAGTCATCCAAACAGAACAGTTACAAGACACTTACGCCTATCTTGATGATGTCACAATCTGTGGAAAAACACAAGAACAACACGATATAAACTTAAAAAAGTTTATCGAAGCTGCATCCAAATACAACCTAACTATTAATAATGAGAAGTCTTCATTTTCAATGCGATCGATCAACTTGTTGGGCTATCATATATCAAACAAAACTATCAAGCCTGACCCCAGTCGACTAGATCCTTTGAAAAATTTACCTCCACCCAGAGACACCGCATCACTGAGGAGGACCCTTGGTATGTTTTCACATTATGCATCACTTATACCAGATTATGCTACCAAAGTGATTCCACTTGCGCGTACTACATTCCCTTTGTCCAAAGCAGGGCTCCAGTCTTTCGAAACTATAAAAAGTGAAATCATCGGATCTGTAGTAAGCTGCATTGACCCTGAAGCACAGTTCATCGTAGAAACTGATGCATCTGAGAGTACCATTGCTGCTACTTTGACTCAATCGAACCGTCCAGTCGCATTCTTCTCAAGGATACTTTCTCCAGCAGAACATAGACATTCAAGTGTCGAAAAAGAAGCACAAGCTATTGTGGAAGCACTGCGGAAATGGCGTCACTATTTGGTTGGTAAACATTTCAAGCTGATTACTGACCAGAGGTCGGTTTCTTTTAAGTTCGATAACAACCGTCATGGCAAAGTGAAAAATGAAAAGATAATGAGGTGGAAACTGGAATTGTCGTGTTTTCATTATGACATTGTATATAGACCCGGTAAAGATAATATGGCTGCAGATGCCCTGACTAGAGTATGTTCTTCAATCCAAAATCAAGAAAAACTGTTGATTGATTTACATGCGAATCTGTGTCATCCAGGTGTGACACGTTTGTACCACTGGGTTCGAAGTAAAAACTTGCCCTACTCGATTGATGAAATCAGACGAATAACAAACTCCTGCAATGTGTGTGCTGCTGTGAAGCCTAGATTCTTCAAACACAAAGGGATTTTGATTAAAGCCACTTCTGCATTTGAACGGCTGAATATCGATTTCAAAGGCCCGCTGCCTTCATCAAGTCGAAACCGTTACTTATTAGTAATAGTAGACGAGTTTTCACGGTTCCCTTTTGCTTTCCCTTGTTCAGACATGTCATCGTCAACAGTTAAGTCGAAACTAAAAACATTATTTTCTACTTTTGGGGTTCCTAGTTACATACATTCGGACAGAGGAACATCATTTCTGAGCCAAGACTTAAAAAGCTACTTGAACTCACTTGGAATCTCAACTAGTAGAACCACTGCGTACAATCCAGCAGGTAATGGGCAAGTAGAAAGGTATAACGGCATTCTATGGAAAACAATTGAACTGGCGTTGAAATCACTTAACTTGGAAATAAACCAATGGGAGACAGTTTTAGAGGATGCCCTCAGCTCAGTGAGATCATTACTTTGCACAGCCACAAATCAAACTCCTCACGAGCGTATGTTCTTACATCCACGTAGATCTGGGAACAATGGTGTTTCAGCTCCTTCATGGCTTCTCAATTCCGGTCCTGTCTACTTGAAGAGATTCAATCGTACGTCCAAGTATGAGCCACTTGTTGAAGAGGTCCAACTTCTTCACGGGAATGCCGAGTATGCTCATGTTAAGTTGCCTGACGGAAGAGAAACTACCGTGTCTACACGTCATCTTGCTCCGGTTGGTGAGTACCAAACCGACATAGAGCAAACCGATTTTGAGAGTGATGAAAATATTCTATTACCCACTTCTCAACCTGAACCTGAATACTTTCCTAGTCCATCATCAACACAGAACCAAGAAGATGAAATGAATACTACTGCCGAGAGTTTACAACCTAGACAAGAAGCTTCTAGAGGAGAGAACCATAACACATATCCGAGAAGAAGTTTCAGAAGCAGAAGACCTCCTAATTATTTAAATGACTACGTTCATTAACATTAGGGAGGAAGAATGTAGTAAAAAACATGTGTCTTCAATTATTTATTATTGTTTTGTTGTGTTTGTAAACAAGTCCATTATAATTCAATGTAGTATTGTTCAAGTTATTAAAAACCTTTCTAAAGGTAATAAAAGTTCTTTTTCATTCATTCTTACTCTCATTACAGTCTATACAAAAGTAACATTGCAATTGCTTTATTATGTTCCATTGTTTTCCCTACACAAGCACAAGCCGGAGTACAACTGCTGAGTGCTGATGTCGGCATAATGTGAACAGTGCACCCGTGCAGGTGCTGGCTAGTAATTGAGTTAACGGCTGGGTATATGGGAAACGAGCCTCAGGCGTAAATACTTTTATCACTTTTTCTGTTAGAGTACAGAATATCATGGACACAGTCACAATCTTAAAATAAAAGTCAACATATCAAGCTACAACTTCTACCCACAGTAATCAATTAATTATATAGGCCTACTAATAATTAATAGGACTCACCTGTTTTTACTTTCCAGCTGCTTTTGCTAGTGTCTATTGTTTCCAGGAGATTTTTAATCAGAAGAGTATAGTTTCGGTTCTCCAGACCGTTCATATGAAGCTCCATTGAACTATAAAAAGTTACCGTAGTTAGATAGAAACCAATCACATCTAATATAAAATAATTCAGTGTATAAGTTTACACAAGTATCATGTCAACTAGATCAAGATCTATGTTAACTAGTATTTCCTGTCTCTGTGCAACACTCTAATCATCTCAGTAAAAACTAATGACAATCGTACTTCCTCATTGTGAAACTTGTACCTACTTTCTCTATGTACATATTTGTATATTTGTGTAGAAATGAAACTCTTTCTTTCTTCTTCTTCTTTCTTGTATCTTTTCAAAAATCTTGAAATAATTATGAAATTATCCATTGAGTTTTTGAGGACAAGGACCTGTGGCTTATTCATTAGGCCTACCTATTTAAAAGTAGGCTACAAATAGGATATTGAGACTAACTTAATGTTATTTTTCGAGTTATTTAAAAAACACAATAAATGAGCTCTAAAGCATCAAGGGTTGACATCGGCTAGAATAAGTTCAGAATAAGTTATGCAATTAAAATGCTGAAGTAGCCTACAGTAAAATATTTTAAACTTACTTGGCAGTAAAAGTTGTGAAGACACTGTCAGCTGGAAGTGTATGTACGTTTTTCAGTGTGACAAAGATTTTGACAAACTTGTCTGATTGATCCCAGGCTGGAAAAACAGGGTTACATTTTGTAAGCAATCTTGTAGGCTATAGCATATAGGCCCTAAATGTTGTTAATGTCAACATAGTGGTTTGTGTGGAAAATAAAACAAGACATGTATGTTTTAAATAGTTTTAAAGCATGACTTTGAGGAATATGTAATTTTACTTAACACCCTACCTAATGGCCTTGTGGTGTAATATACTACCTATTGATTGTAACAAAAGAAATGTTAGGAGGGAAATGTTGATTCCTTTAAAAGTCCTATACAGAAAAGTTCAAAACAATGACAGACAAATTCTAAACACAATTTACAGCAATCCACTTACCATAATTGTTGAGTTTAACTTCATAGCACCGATTTGTACTCGGTATGGTGGTTTGAGATGTTTTGTATCCATCGGCACTGCCTGTTTGTTCTTGTAACCGGGATATTTCAGTTTGCAATTTCCTTATTTCAAGAGACACAGCATCTTTGACACGCTGCCTTGTAGCACTAGCCAACAGCTGATTCAATTCAGAGACATCAGCTTTCAACTGGAATAAAAATCAAAAGCTGTACGAGTTGACTTTTAAACTGAACAAAATGCATTTTAAAGGTTTGTTTTCACTTTTAAAATCAGGGCCGGCTTCATGTGCCTAGAACTAATCACAGTGTTCCAACTGAAATAAAAACTTAAGTACGGTAACTTACAAACATGACCTGCCCAAAAATAGCACAACAAGTAATTATGTTTAAATATAAACAGGCTTCCACACTTAGTCGATGTTTTTTACATCAGTGGTAGCTTAATTTAGGTTACAGATGTTTTTTAGGCCAAGTATTAAGGCCTATTTTGCTTGGAGCGATTGCAGCGATAGTCGTGTAGCAATAATCGCTCCGGGATAGTAGCTGAGCACTGTTCTAACGGAGTTTGCGTTGTCCTGTTTTGCTTAGAGCGACTGTCGTAAGAGTCGCTAGCTACATTAGCGGACCACTGCCCTGGGTACCAGTCTTGCAGTAATCGCTCCGCGACTGATGCGCAGATCCTCAAAACAGTCCAGTTCACTCCGTAGGCACATTAAATAAGTTAGGGGTTAAAATAGCCATAATTTACTTTTTTGTTCACATTAATTTTTTATTCATGTGCTGTTGGGATTGTAATGTTTTGGTTATATTTCCTTACACATTCATTTCATTTTCTACATGAAGAAACAGGCGACTCCAGTAAGTTAAAAGAAACATTTGATCAAGCATTTATTTCCAGCAAACTTTGCATTGTTATTGCTCAAATGGTTGTGTTTACATTTTTTTTAGGTAATCCTCATCTATTTGAATTTAAATATAAAATACTTGACTGTTCCAAGTTGACTACGTTTTAAGTTATTTAGTTGTGGGTGTTAATACTGTATCAGTTTTTTGTATAAATAGATATTTTTTATTTAGACTCCAGGTTTTATTTTCAGACATCACTAATGTTTTATTGATATGTATAAATATTTTTATTTTCATTGATATCACTACAGTCTTCTATTTATCCTATCTAGTGACGTCTAGTGATATGTATCCCTCCCAAATCCTATGAGTCACTATGTATTTTCTATTGATACTTCCACTAGGGTCAAGTAGAGCCTCGTCTTCTAACTCTTCACTGAGGATCAGGGTTGCCACCTTAGGTTAGGGAAAAATCAGGACATGGCCCCCCTCCCACCGGATTAACATAGGCTTAACCCTTCGCGGAAGGGTGACGGATATATCCGCCTAAGTCTTTGGTGATAAAGGACGGGTGACGGATATATCCGCATATGGTTTTTGATGTTCGGGATGGGAAGAGGTTAGTTGTATCCGCCTTCTCTTCAGACAGACTGGCAGTAACCAGATGTTTTCACGGTACCAAGGCGCCACTTTCCTGCTCTTTCCATGACTGCGCTCTCCCCCGCACTCCCTTCTCTCTCACACGCCAACCCCTCTCCTGCGCCTCACCCCCTCCCGCACACCTACCACCACTCCTACACTCCCCCCTCGACGTTAAACGCTCCACATTACGTTGTCTTTATTTATTGTTTATATATTTTTCTTTATTTATTGCCTAACGTTGTCATGGTCATATCTTCAAAGACGGGTGACGGATATATCCGCTGCATTCCTATTCATCCGCGGACGGGTAGCGGATATATCCGCATAGGCCTAATTAAAAAAGAGTAAAAAATTATTTTGACAGTATAATGTGTTCCACTGTGTTTATTTTATGTGTAGGTACATGTAGGCCTATAACAAAACACAAAAAAGAAAAATTAATTTTTATTTTTTCCTCTAATTTTTTCCCGCCCAATGTCATGATTTCGCCCGTACGGGTTGGGTTAAATGTGGGAATGAGGAACCGAAACCGGGACTGTCCCGGCAGAATCGGGACGGGTGGCAACCCTGCTGAGTTAAAAATTTACAACACGCACTCATGACTGCGCTGCTGATAGGTGGCATATGAGTGCTAGGCTGGTATTCAACTATGAAAAATCGTGCGGCGACCGAAAATCAATTAGTCTAACCAAATTGGCCACCGTAACAGCTAAAATATATCAATTCACAGAGGATACGCGTCCGGTAACCAGGCGTGGATTAGGCGTACGGTAGTGACGTCACCGGGTTGTGGGGTCCCAGAACGCCATTACCACAACGATACGAAGTTCGGCCAGCGTTGTTCGTGGTGTATTGGATAGAGTGCTCGGCTGATATCCAAGAGGTACCAGGTTCGAAACCCATCGGTTTCTTTAACTTTTTGTCACAGATTTTGCTTTGAATGTAATTTCTTCTTAACTGTACATCTTTTGTTAGAATTTTTGGCATTTATAATTTTATGTTATGAAGAGAATTGAACCTTCATTTGATTTTTTTCATTATCAGCAAGTTTGGTTGGTTAGGTTAGGTTATGATAGTAGCTGCCGGACGCCTAATCCACGTCCTGTTACCGGACGCGTATCCTCTGCGATATCAATTTTTTCCATTACTTTCCTATACAGAGAGCAGACGAAAAACTGAAGAAACATCGATGTCTTAGTCCCAGAAACATCGATGTTTTCGCAATGATGTTATCGGTACAACGATGGTAACATCGATGTTACTAAAAACTAATTAGTACCATAAATATGGCTGCACTTTACTTGACGTCCTACACTCATTTGAATGAAAATATCGATCGATATATCGATTAATCGATTGCTTCATTCGATATATCGTTTGGTTAGTTAGGTAAGGTTAACCTAACCTATCGAATGAAACAATCGAATGAAAATATCGAATCGAAAAAAACAATCGAATGAGTGTAGGACGTCAAGTAAAGTGCAGCCCATAAATATATTTGCCTAACTTAGGCTTATTATGTACGGTCTGAAACAAAACACATTTAACCTAAGACACATGGTTCTAGAAGGATCTCACATACACAATAGGGCCTAGGCCAACTAACCTCATCAATTTTGCTAGACATTGTTGGTTTTTAACTTATTAGATTAAATGGAAATTCAAGTTGATTTTATTTTTTAAAATGCTGGCCTATTTAAAAGGTTTAAAGTTGTAAAACACTAATTTTGCTCGCAAAAGTAAAGATAAAAAGGCGTCAATCGGAATAAGTAGGTAGTAACTTCACTGTAGTACTGTACTTGTACTTTACACCACTACTTCACTTCCCTATTCCCTTTTTCTCTTCCCTTTCCCACTTTTCAGTTCGAGCTCACTTTACTTTACTTTACTACTGTACTGAACTGAGTAGGGTAAGGGTATTGAACTGAACTGACTGACTCGACTCAATCCAATCATTTCACTACACTACTTTGCGAGTGCTATTCCCGTCATATTCTGACGTAATATTCGTTTTGTTTTGATTTGGTTGTTATTGTTTTTATTTAATTTTTGTATAGCATTTATTACTGGTTCAATGATGACATTATTCACAGAACTGTTAACAAAATAAACAAGAAAATAACAAATAAGAACATCGTGGGTTCGCCCAGAACTGAGACACCCTGTAACATAATTAATTTAGATAAAAGTACTTAATCTTCTTTAGGTTTCATTCATCCAGTAGATCTTGAGGAAGCCTTCGACGTAGCCTCCTGTTCTCAGTTGCTTCGCCAAGATGAAAAGCTAGTGCACCAGGAACATTGTCTAAAGACTTCAGAAATTTGGAGGTGGTTTTTTTCTATAAAGGCCGAGTTAGACTCCGCTCCTAGCTCCTCATGTTTTCCTGTTTCTTACAAACCAGGGAGCATTCACAGCTATTCTTAGAATTTTGTTTTGGATAACTTGAATTTTGAAGAATTTGTTTTTTGATATAGCCAATCCCCAGATAGGAGATGCATGTAATAAAATTGTTTTTATAAGGTGTGTTTTTATAAAAAAAACAATAACAAATCAAATCAACACAAATACATACTAATTTGACAGTTACAATCATGTGATCTTTAACCACCTTTAACTCCAGGCCGCACCCTGGTAGAATTGGCAACGTCGCAAGTAGGGTTGTTTACTGGCAGACGTTCCATAAGATAACATGGCAGACAAGTGACATCAGCTCGTCTGGCGCGCTAGGCAACACTTCTTGCAACGTTGCCAATTCTAGGCTGCGGCCTCTGGAGTTAAAGGTGGCCGTGACAGCGTGCTTACAATCGAGTGCGTTTTTCGAGTGAGGCACCGATGACTATCATGAGGGCGAAGCAAGCGAAAGGAGAACGAATTAGTTAACGGAAATGGAAATGAAGATTTTAGGACAGGAAAGAAGAGAATATGAAATTGTAATTTTTGGAATGGAACTATATATCGAATGGGAATGGGACAGAAATGAAATGTTTTGAACCACTGATTATGGTAAACTGATTTTAAACTTATATTATTGCCAATACATATAATATTCATAGAAAATCTATCTTATTTACCAATACTTCCAATAATACTTTTTCACCTTCAAAGAAAAACTATGAATATTTTCTGAATTTGTGCTATTAAGTCAAAAGTTGGGACTTTTTTGCAATCATCTTGACACTAATTACTATCTTTATTGTAATATTTATTTTTCTAGGTCAACTACTTGCTAAAAGTGTAACCTATTTTGCTCGAGCTAAACAATCACGTAAAAAATATGTACCGGTGTACTTTTTGTACCAGGTAAAACGACTATACCAATATTATATTGTTGTTTTTGTGTAATTTCATTGAATATATCCTAATTTGACCACTCTGCTATGCTATTAATGATAACTTTGCTTGCTAATAATGATGACTTCTCGGGTTCGTTATCAACTATTATTTCACACGAAAAATATATTTTTTCTTATGATTCAAGGTTTATTAGTATTCAATTAAAAGTGTTTTCTTGAATTGTCAAATATTATGTGTTTTTATTAATCCGGCAATCAAATCAACAATACAATATAATTTTACAAATTAAACCCCAGCTCTCCATGCATTCACACACCATTTAAGTCCATGTAATCTCTATTTCCCATTGATACTTGTGATGTGGTTATCTTCTTATAATAATTGTTATGTTAATTTTAGTATAATGTATATGTATGTAGACCTAGTGCTTCTTATTTTTGTATGTTATTTGCATTACCGTAATGCTTTTTTGTTTGGAAGTTATTACAATGCTTGTGGAATTTTACACCTGATTTGAATTTTATCAAATTACTTATTACTACACCTTTTCTAATTTTATTTGAGAGACAGTTATGTTTTTTTCAGAACATCTATTTAATTCCGTAAGCGAATCAGTCCCCACGAAATATCTTGAGCTAGGAAAAAGGTAGCATAGTTGTTGAGGATTTATTTTAAAGCTTAAGGTACAAGGACAGGGGGGAAAATATCAGAAGTGTCAAAAATTACCCCTACTCCAAGGTTGCCCCTACTCTGCCCCACAAGCCATCAAATATCCAGTCATTATTTAATGGAAGTACTGCTACTGTGTTTTTTATAAGCTGTTAAAATATACCAACCAGCTGATATAAACATTGCATATTTGTTTGTTTATTGATTTTAGTGTTCTGTTTTTAAATTCGAATTTTAATGCAGTGGCGGTGTTGAAAAGTATCATGTTAGGGGAAGACCGTGACTACGAAGGAAAGTATTTAGAAATGGTGCACAGCATAGGGAATAGTAAGGACAGGACGGAAAAATAATATTGTTTGAGGGTGATTTTAACCATTTACTGCCTGTTGTCCCAAGCAAAAAAGTTCAAATAATTTAACGTAGCATGTACATAGCGTTTAGTAAAGGGAGCATACATACATAAGAGTAAAATCTGGAGGTAGATTTTGTTACTTTGCGTTTCTTAAACTAACTGTCCCTACAAGCCACTAGTATCAAGTGTATTTGAGATTAGTCAAATATATTTCAGAAAACATGAATAATGAAGTTAACAACACAGTCAGTTGTATTTGAGAAGGCATCAAATGAATTTAAGAGCAGTGAATTCTATTCTATTTAAGAAATTATTGTTAAAATGTATTTGTGAACTTGTGATTTGGTTTGCAAATATTCAGCTGATTTTTGCCAACATCTGAAACTAAAAACCCTCATTCTGAAATGAAATTAACAATTTCTCAATTCTATATTTTCTCAAATACAATTATAACTATTCCCAACTACATTTGTAGTTTTTATCAAAGACTCTTCTAATTTACATTTGATATCTTCTCAAATACAAGTAATGATTCTCAAATACAATTAATAACTGCTCGAATAAATGTGTTCGACCAAAAGTAAGTTATGTACCTATTGTCATAGACAAAAAGAAACTGTCTATGGTATTGTACAAACTTCTCTATTTTCATCCCATGCGGTATATAAAACATGTGGTTGGAATTTCTTCGATTTGTTTTGATTTTCTGTTTATATTTTGTTGTTATTTCGTCACCAACTTTCAACTCATAAGGCCCATGTTATTTTTTTTTTAATTTTTAATTCATTTGTTGTGCTTATTTTTGACCCTATTTTAATTTATAAAGGGATTCTTCTGCACAGGCAAATATCTTTCTAACAGTATGCATAGATTTTCCCTGTTATGTGTGGAGCTGAGAAAAAAGGTTTTCAATAAACATGCTATATTATACTGTATAGAATTGGCCCCATGTTAAATCTCTATAAGAAAAGTTGAATTTCCATTTTTGACCCAATTAGCATAAATATTCTCAAAATATAAATAAACCCCATACACATGATTCCCCCGCTGCAGCAAAGCTACAGACTAAGCGAATTTCCATTTGCCTGATTGGATTTTCAAATAACATTAGGTTTAAGGAGTACCTAGGTTTGATGGTACAGGGAGAATAATAAAGTATGTTTTTAGTAAAATGTTTTTGGTATATCTTAGTACAAAATAAATAAATTTGCCAAGTTTTGTCAAAATATACCCATAAACAAGCAAACTACAACGATTTACCTACTTATTCTCTATAAGAATAACATAGAAATTTTCAATTTGTTTTTATTGTATCCGTAACAAAGAGTTGTAAGTAAAAACTTCATGATGATTTTTCTTTAACCTCTTCAAAGTGATTTAGAGTAAATCAAGAAACTTTATTTTTTGAGGGTGAAAAGTGAGAAAACCTAATTTTTACCCCATAAAACCACGTTCCAATGGTGGTACGCTAACTCCTTTAAATAAAGGTAGGTTAAGTTTCTACCAAATTTAATCAAAATTGAATTATTTTTTCCCAAGTTATTGAGCTATTGTACACTTATATGTATATGAATTTGAAGGATTTTTTGAATTTTATTTTTGCTCTCTGGTGACATAAAAAAATTAAATCGGGTCCAGGTCTTGCGCCATGAGACCTATATTAATAGCTTATTCCCTATGGGAAATTAGCAAAAAGTTCTACAATTGATCCCTTCATTACTACTCAGCACAAGATAGGTACAAACAAGTACAACAAGTTGCATTTAAAAAGATGAAGGTGTTAAACTAAACACCATAAAGTTAAGCATATTTTATTTTTAGTTGTTATTTCTATTTCATGAACATAACTAAGCAATAATTCAATTTATTTATAACTCATGTATTGATTCTAATCTTGCTATGATTAAAATTTCTCTACTGAAATTCTAATTCATATAAGATAAAGTACCGGTATTTTAACTGTGGATATCCTTTCATAGCTTATGTTTATATAGTTCACTCCTAAGGATGATTTTTTGTAGTAGTGGCCCTACTCTTGTAATTGATTATTGCAGGATAGCTAATTTTATGTGTTTGCTTATTTCAACCATATATTTATATGCTTAAGATTACTATAGTTGACTTTTAAAACCTTTTTAACATGCTTCGTTACCTTTAAGTGTTTAAAATTTCCAAACAGCTAGATTTTTAAATAAAAATGACTTGTTTCATTTGGTATTCTAAGAGGTATCCTTAATGGATTTCTCTTAGATGTTGTAAGTTCATTATTCATCCATATTCATAATATTTTCAAAACTGTTTGGATTATCTCTGTATCAAATTGTAAAATTACTATCTTTTGCAAGCTAAGGTACAGTATAAGATTTTTTCATTACTGCTTTCAATGCGTTGAACTCTTTCACTCTTTGACCCCGCTTATTGATTTATCATCAAATTTATGATAGGAGAAATTCTTCAGAATATTTCACCACAAAGTTACCAATATTATTTCCCACACATATAA